TTTTTAATATTTTTTTTTCGTTCAAAAAAAAAAAAAAAAAAAAAAAAAAAAAACTAAACTTGGTTTAAGTATTTTGTGTCTTTTGGTGTTTTGTGACTTTTCTTCAACACTTTTTTACTTAGCTCTTAAAAATCTAGTAGGAGACCATTATTTATTTGGTCCTTTTGTACTTTTTACCCCATTAAAAGCTTGTCTAAGACAATCAAGTATTTGGTATGTTCAGCGTAATAAAAGTATTTGGTTTGTTCTTTCATTTCTTTTTTAAAAAATTGATATTTTATATTTCAAATGTACTTCATTAAAAAATCGTTTAATTTAATTTGTTCCTATAAAAATTATTTTACTTGAATATAATCCTCTAAAAAACTATTCTATTAAATGTGGTCTTCATAAATGTATATTTTTTTAATAACCTTAAAATAATTTCTCTATTCTTCTAAAAGAAGAAATTTCTAAAAAATAACCTGATTAAGTCTATTTCTTATAATTATTTTCTCTTTTTACCTTTTTTACCCCTAAATCTTATGTTATTTTTCTCAATCTTTTGAAATATTATTTTTTAAGTAATGTCTTCTTTTTAATTTTATTACTTAAGTCTACTGAACTTTTTTTTTTTTTTTGAGAATTATCAAACTAAGAAATGAAACTAAAACTTTTGAAAATTAAACATTTATGTATAAAAAAAAAAAATACTCATGTGCTCACACGTGGCTCCAATTAGTATTATTAATAAGACAGAGTTGTTGCGGTTTTGTTACTGTGACTAGTAGAGTATCAATTTGAATTGTCAACGGTAACCGCTATTAGTAAAACCAGAGACCATGTCAAGTTCGAGATATGGGTTAATTAAGAGCCCGTTTAGTTCGCTGATTCAAGTTTTTAATTTGAGTTGAGATGTGATTTTATATGAGAATTTTTTAATGTAGCAAAAAAGTTAGATGTGATTGTTTGTGAGAGTTTTTTACTGTAGCAAAACTCAAATTTTAAACTCAAATCAGCGAAATGAACGGGACCTAAGAAGTAATGATCAACTATTTCCTTCTCACATTCTTAAATCTTATGCGCCCTAACATCTTTGCGCCACAGTTAGTATACCAATGACTAACATGTGCCCGACTCTTCGTCGTCTCAATCAATTGCTCGCCAGACGACAACAAGATCCCTGTCGTCATGCAGATAGAGGGGGGCTTAGGCCAAACTGAGCAGGAGCATGAAGACTAGCTCGCACACCAACTCGTTGAAGAAGACGCTTGATGTCTAATTTGGCACGCACGTCGACGCACAAGCCATGTTTCTGACCATGTAATTTTTGTCGTGGTTCAGTCCGCGGATTTAAATTTTTAATTTGATTTGATATGTGATTTTATGTGAGAGTTTTTTATTGTAGCAAAAAAAATTAGATGTGACTTTTTGTGAGAGCTTTTAACTGTAGCAAAATTAGAATTAAAAACTCAAATTTGCGAAATGAACGAGGCATACAGTAAAACTTATTATATTGTTGTTCTAATATCTCATGAACCTTAATTGTATTCTTCTTCGTACAGGATTGTATTGTGTTTAATGCTAATCGGTGGAAGCTGCATGCACTTTTGTTACATTTCATCTTCTTTTTTTTTAGAAGGGTGTTACATTTCATCTTCTTAAAACTTACGTCAGTGATGTTCATTTGTTACCATGTTGAGCAACTATCGAAACTCAAAAATCTTTATTGTCTTCACTCATTTTTCATTCTCAATAATCTAAAGAGTTTTTAGCAAATGCTCTCTGAACTTCATAATTTAGCAAATTGTCCTTAAATTTTTTAGTTTTAGTAATTAATTCCCTCAACTTGCATAACTGTTGCAATTAGCCCTTTTTACAAACGGATGCTAAAGAACTAACAGAAATTGAAATCTGTTAGTCACATGTAGGGTTCTAAAGGGGCATAATTGGCATTTTATATATCCTAATTATTAAATAAAACATTAATAAAAAAACCTAGATTAATCTCAACCACTCATATTTTATTCTTTTAATCTCAGTAATTGGATATGAAAAAAACCTAGCAGCAAATGGTGATTTGGGTCTATCTCTGCCTTTCTCGCACTGGGTATTCATCAACATCTCAGACGCAGACAACGACTCTGAAAATCCCAAAGAAGGAAAACGATAACAAGAAGAAAAACTCTGATGATTTGTGAGTCCAATTAGCGTTTATGTCCTTTAAGAATAAATGTAACAATGTTAATTTGACATTTTGATATCAATAAAGTATTATTTATTTCATATATCAAGTATTGTTCTCTTTGTGCGGCTCATATTAGTTGAATGTATGATAAATAAACTGAAAGTCTGAGATTGTCGCTCTAAGTTTAAATTATGTATATAATGTGAAGAATATACATATTAAACATGAATCTAAAGATAATAATATAAATTATATGATCCGTAATCGAATGAATAAAGTTTGGGCGCAATATTTATATTAAGATTGTTATGTTGTCTACTTCTTGACAGAGACAACTTATCTTGATCGTCGGAGTGGGACTTCATGGGTAGAGACGTAAATATAGTTCAATTAGTGGAATATATATTGAATTTGACCAAAGTTGAATTGTTTTAATTAAAAATTTTGTTTGAATAAAGAAATTCACTTTCGACAACTTATATGTAATCTATCTTAGTACTGAGATGAATAACAAACCCGTATATTTGCCTTGTATCTTTTGATGTACCAAAAGGTGACATCCTGACATTGTTGAAAGTATGCATACTGGTATGTTGTATTGGGAATAACGTCCTTAAAACATGAAATGTAATAAGGATTTAATTATTTATTTAATAAAATAGAAATTTCATTATTTTATGTCCATGTATTATTGTAAACTTTATGAATAGTATCATTGAAAATTCTATGATTATTTATATAACCTTAATTTTTGTATATATGTGTTATATATTATAAGATAATATTTAAGGATAATAATCGAAATGAGTCCATAATGAACTTAATTAAAGCTCATAATTTTTAATTAAAAAATAATAATACATGTCATTCCCATCACGAATGGAATGAGCTTATCCCCATCGTTGATATTAAGGGACATCAAATGAGTGTATTTTACATAATAAGATTATGTAAGACTGAGACGCAAACACAATATCAATTTCTGATAATTTTCATTAAGTATAGAAATTCTAATTGAGTTTACTGATGGTCATATATATAATGATCTTAATCCTGAGCTATTAGTATACTCCTATTTATAGATTTGTGTCTTTTGACTTACTCGATACATATTTCAAGATCACTAAATTCTATTCCTTGTATCTTGGAGATATGATGAAGTAGGTAGTCAGGAATGTTAATATTATGAGATAAAATCTATTAGTAGATAAATAAGTCTCTTGAGGTTCGATTCGATACTTGAGTATGTAACGAGCTTGGTTCATGAATTTGTTTCATGAATATACTATTTATTAGAGAATTAATGATACTTAAGGATAAAATTATAATTAGAGAGGTTAACGGATTATACCTAGCTCTAATTATAAATTATTTATGGAAGATCAATTTACATGCAATGGCTATATCAAATGGATGTTTCATTGATGTAAATAAATGTGTGTAATATTAAGAATGCAATTCAAAGTTTATAGTGGAGTAACTTTAAAATTAATGGAATTAATCAATTGATTAAAGAGTTTGATCAATTTAATTTTATTAGAATTTGATATTATAGGTCTATGAGTCACTACGTCATCCTTGTAATTCCTACAACGGAGAAATTGTAAGAGATATGTCTATTTTTTGTTTTGATCGATTGAGTCGGTTGAATTCAAAGAGAAACCAACTTACTCTTCAACCTTCATTAACTCCTTAGCAAGGATGAAAATGTTGATCTCAACGGGTTGTCGAGGTTTTGATTTATGAATAATATAAATGGAACCATGTATGAAATTGTCCACAACATTATCGATATTTTCACGATATTATCCATATATTTGAAGTCTCGACATAGATAACAGGGAAAGAGAGGGGAAGATAGTTTTCCTGAAGCGTCCATAAAATGTCTACAAAATCCAAAAATATTTCTAATATTGGTGAATATTACGAATACCCAGGATATTTTTTTTGGATATGTCCACAAAATTTCCAAAAACACAGAGAAAAGTTTCTTTTTTTCCCCACAAAAATCAATTTTTGAAGCCCTTTTTTTCTATTATTTTGTAATAAATTGTGATAACTAAATGGTAGAAAACAACATAAAAAAAGACATGGTGTAACTCAAATGAGTCAAACTGATGATGCGTCTGAGGCCTTGAGTTTTAATTCATGAGTTTAGAAATTGAGCAAAGTTCAAATGGTTATAACCATTCATATAGTTCTCATGAAGACTACTCATCAAGTTGGATAAACAAACAAGAAGAGATTAAGAAACATTAACGTGAAATATTAACAACTACCTATATAATTATTCAAGGTGATATGTTGGCAAATGTATTGTTTAAATCAAACTCATAACCTATATAATATTTTCCAATTTGCTAGAAACTCGTGTTGGTATTAAAAGACTTGAAGTTTGTCTGTACTCTATTATATTTGATAGTTAATTTTTATGTATCGTATTATATTATTGTATCTTTTTTTAATGAGTATGTAAAATTATATTGGGATCATAATTCATATATAATTATGATAGTTTCTTATTATATTATGCAACATAACTCTCATATTCCGATAAAGTGTATTATTTTGTTACTAAATTAGTAAAAACTAAGTAATATTGATTGTTTTAGCATTTTGTATAGTTTCAAAAAGAATTTTCAGGTTTTCTCAAGATATTTTTTTTTTTCCAGAATATCCGTCAACATCAACATTTTTATCGACATTATTCGTAAATCAAAATATTGACAACCTCATCGATATCGACCATTTCATCCTTGGACGAAACTACCAATATTACCAATGTCGACGAATATGCTGCAACAATACATATCTTGAGAAAACCTTAAAGACTTTTTTTATTGAAACTATACAAATGCTAAAAACAATCAACATTACTTAATTTGAACTAATTATGACAATAAAATACATTTTCTATTGGAATATAAGAGTTATGGTACATGGTATAATAGGACATTATGATAACTATATACGGATTATGATTCTAATATAATTTTACATATTCAATATAAACGAATACAAAATATAATAGAGTACATAAAAATTAACTACCAAACATGATATAGTTTATATATAAATTTCAAATATTTTATTTAATACCAAAACAAGTTTTTAGAAGGTAAGAAAGCATTATGTAAGTTCCGATCTTGATCTAAACAATATATTTTCCAATACATTGCCTTTGAATAGTTATGGGGGTAGTTATTAATGTAACAAGTGTATGTTTCTTGATCTTTTCTCAATGTTAACTCCTAAATTGGATATGATGTGTTTTATCCTACTTGATGAGTAGGTTTCATGGGTGTGTATGACATTTCAACACTAACTTGTGGTGGAAGGTACATTAATGTATCAAACCATATTGTTTTTTACCTTTTTAATTAGACCCCATTTAGGAATTATATGAATAATTATAACTATATAAACTTTGCTCTGTTGCTAAGCTCATGAATCAAAATTCAAGACCATAGAATCATATCCAATTTGACTCATTTGAATCACCTCACGTCTTTTTAATATTTTTTTCTCACTATTCAGACCTTTAATTGGAAAGGAATAGGAAAAATGTGCCACACAATTAATTTTCATGTACAAAAGAAAATTTTCATGGAGTTTTTGAATATTTAGTGGACATTTTTAAAAATATCTTAGATATTAATGGATAATCACTGATATTATAGATATTTTTGGACATCATCGATATTATATTGTGCATATTTTTAAACATTGTCGGTATTTTGTAAATATTTCGAGAAGAATATCCTTCTCCCGCTATCCATGTTGAGACTTTAAAAAATGGATAAAAAATATGAATAATGTTGTAGACATATTTGTGCTCCTCGGAATAGCCAAGTTACCAAGGATTTCCACTCGAAACTAGGGCAAGTCGAATTGCTCGACTTCGTTGGAGTGTACGTGGGAAAGTGCACGAGATCTTCAAAAGAATAAGAAAAGGGAAATTTCAGCAGTTGCATTAAGGCCTCATTCATTTTATCGATTTGAGTTTTCAGTTCTAAGTTTCTACAGTTAAAAGCTCTTAGAAAACGTCACATCTAACTTTTTCTATTATAGTTAAAATTTTTTAAAAAATATCACATCTCAACTTAAATTGAAAATTTTAATCCGTGAAGCGAACGAGGCCTAAATCTACACATCATTTTGCTATTTTTTAACCTTTCATTTTGACAATTTTTTATTTTCACTCTACACTATATAATGTTAGGATACGTGAAATTACCTTAGACTGCCGTTCACCAATCCGTCCCTTTTCCATATAAGCCGATTCAAATTGCGAGACTGGAAATAGCATTTTATACTCAGTGGGGTTGAAGACTAACTCTATACGTATAAACTATGAATCCTTTGGAATTTCAAACAAAAAAATAAAAAATAAAAAAAAGTATGAATTGTTTGGAACATTGATTAAAAAGGTTTAAAATTATGAAAGTGGTACTTGCATAAGCAAAAAATGTCAATCAAAAAGTTGAAAAATGAGAAATGAAAATTATTCAGTTTTTTCTTTTTTTAATAACAGATGAAAATCATTGTTTTTGTCTGCCTGTAAATTACTCCCAAGCACGTGTCAATCATGTAGGTGGGTAATTCAACAACCTCACCATAATTGGACCCCAAACCCCAAATAGCTCATTAGTTATTCCAATCCTAATCATCTTTTTTTGCCCTTTTGAGAGAAAATAAAAAATCTCATTATTAAAATATATTGTAAATTTCTTTTATATCACAAATAATTTGATTATTTTTTTATAATATATAGCTTATTTTTCATAACTTGTAGATTATTTTTTGTAATTTATAGGTTATTTTTTATAACTGCAGATTATCTTACGTGGTCTATAAGTTATGTTTTTTTGTAATTTATAGATTATCTTTTATAGTAGTATTAAAATTTTGTATAATGATATAAATAATAGAGTTAAAAAAATAATAGTTAAACTTAAATTTTTCTCTTTTTGTTGAGTAACCTAATTATCCTTTTTTTCATAGCATTAAAACAAAAAATATTTCGTAAGCACAATTAATTTTGGTTATTTTTTTCACTAATACATGAGTAATTGTCTAGATAATTATAAAATGCACTGTCATAATTATTGATACTGCAGAAATCCTTGATCTGAATACGACGTCGTTGCAACCTAATCTTTCGTACTTTTGTTAATCCATTAGTAGTTGAAAATGGCACCACACTCTCTCAGTGGAAAACACACTTGCCCAATTTTTTTTCTCTCTTCCCAAACAACTCTTCCACCAGCAGCTCCTAACCCATTTCTCCCTCTTCTTTCTCTCTCTAACCCAACCCAACAATGGACGAAGACCAACCATTGAACAATGTCAGCGTCCACAGTGGAAGACGAACCGATTCGGTGCTCCGCGGGCCCACCATAAGCACCACTACAACCACTACCTTCTCTTTCCCCCCCCCCCCCCCCCCCCCGCCGCCTCTTCGCCGCCGCCGCCCGCCGCCGGATTCTCCTTGGCGACGGAGACGGTGACGGTGAGAGCTGCGCTTACTCGAAGCCGATCCTGGTGCTGGACGTGGTGTGGAACTTGGCCTTTGTTCTGGTCTCGGCGGTGGTGCTGTTGTCCACTTTCAGAGAGAAACCCTCGACTCCTTTGAGAGTTTGGATCGCTGGGTACGCTTTTCAGTGCGTTTTGCATGTGGGTTTCGTCTGCTTCGATTATCGGCGGAGAGGTTTCGCGGATCTCGTCGGCTTTGGTGGTCTTTCGCTTTCTCAGAGACGTACCAGGTGAGTTCTTTTCTACACGAAATTTTGGTTTTCGAATTTGAATTTTTCGTTTTCTTTGATGGGTATGAAGAAATTTAGCTCACTGTCTAAGTTAATTGATCAATTAAGTAGGAAAATAAGCATTGTTATTATGTTTTTATGTGATAGTTAAGAGTACAATTTGGTACTCAAATTCAAATTGGCGTTATAAATGAAGATCAGGTCTTTAGACCCTTGACTGCCTTATTAGGCCTTCGGAAATCCTTTAGCCAAAAAAAAGAGGACTCGAGAAATGTCAAAAGTTGAGGGCTACTAAGATACTAGTAGGGCTTTCTTAGATTTCCTTTTGTAGAAGTTGGAAATGTTAGATATCAACACTATTGAAAATTGAAAAACACGTTTGCTTGTATTGAGATGTATTCTTAGCATTATCGTTCTTTACTCCAACTCAAACGCTTGGAAGCAAGTCGATTTTACTACTGCATTGAACACTTTCCTAGTTTTGCTTGCAACTTTCCTCCTCTTGGTGGTAAAAATAGTTAGTAAATTTGTTGCAACAATTTATCTCAGAAAAATTTTTGTTCATGGTAGCATGCTACGAAAAACCAAAGGGTGTATGGGAAAACATAAATTGTGGTCCCAAGTGGCAGTGATTGGATGAGCTTCTAAAGGAATTGGTTTGCATTAGTTTGAAAGGAAACTAACTTCAGTTATTATTGTGCTGAACTTTGATGTAAGAAAAAAAATGAAATTTTAATCAAACTTGATGCCGTTAATTGTTTCATATATATATATATTAATAAATGTTCGTTTAAGAGCGTTTTAAATGGTAAAACGAAATCCCTTTTAAAAGTGGATTTTTTTTGGGGGGATAAAATCATTTTGGTACACTGTGTTATAGCAAAACATGCTCTTGGAACCCTGTGTTTTTGATAATATTAAAACGGTACCTCGACGGTTTTAAAAACATCTTCTTGGTACCTTGAAGCTGATTTTTGGGACATGTAATGTCCAAACTACCCTTCTTGTTAATTAAATGCAAATCAATATTTTTTTAAAAAAATCTGAAATTAAAATATTTAAAAGAAAACAATAAAATAAAAAAGTTCATGATTTTTTTTTCTAGATTTATGAGGTTTTGGTTAACTAAATAGAAGGGTACTAAGGTCATTTTACGTCTCAAAAATCAGCTTCAGGGTACTAAGAAGATGTTTCTAAAAACGTCGAGGTACCATTTTAATACTATAAAAAATACAGGGTACCAAGAGTATGTTTTGCTATAATACAGTTGTAGTCTCCATTAAATAAAAAAAAAAAAAAAACTCTGGGGACTCTTCTCATTGTGATGGACATTTGTAGTCTCTTAGTTTTTTTTTTATTTTTTTTATTATTTTTTTTTATAATAAAGTCTTTTTAAAGTTATTTGGAGAATGCGACTCTATTTCATTGTTCATTTATATTTGTCTTCCAGCATCATGAAAAGGTTGGAGTCTGTGAATACAATTGTGTCATCCATCTGGTGGATGTGTGGATTCTATTGGATTGTAGAGGGTGGCCAAACACTTCTGCAAGATTCTCCACGGCTTTACTGGTAACTCCTGTGACAAATTTTTTAAAATTTCTTGATAATAACCCTTACTGTATCTCTTTAGTTTAACATATGAAACTTGGATAAACTAAGCATGCTTGTCTATGAAGAGAGAGCACGGTCTTAATTTCATGTTCCAACAATGTTAGAAATCAGATTATGATTACACCAAGAAATTCATGAATATTAGCATTACAAAGTCAAGTATGCGATTTTAGTGAAATACGGTGATCAATTATAATGTACTTTAAACTTAGGTGCATGTTTATACAAATGCAAAAACCTCATTAATGAGCTCCTGTTCGCAAATGCAGGTTAACAGTCGTATTCCTCGCCTTTGATGTGTTCTTTATTATCTTTTGCATTGGCATGGCATTTGTCATTTTCTTTGCTCTCTGCTGTTGTATTCCAATTGTAGCATTCGCGTATTCTATGGCAATTAGAGATGGTGCATCGGAAGATGATATCAGGAATCTTCCAAAGTATAGATTTTGCCAGGATAGTTCTTCGATGACCCTTGATAATGATAAGAAGCAGGATATTCTTACAGCACAGTTAGAGTCAAGTAATAACCACATCAAGGAACTTGCGCTTAACCCAGAAGATTCCGTAAGCTCCGTTTTCCTTATCTTCTTTTGTTTATTCAACCTTTTCCTTTCATCAGATTTGTTTGGTAGTTGAATTGATGTGATGATCATTTTGATTATGATGTTGAGTGCATAAATTGTTTGGTATTATTGACTTTGTTTTTCTCTTTGCACCCCTGACCAACACGACTCGTCAAATTAGATTTTCCTGCTCTGACATGCTGTGCTCAGCTTCTTAACAAGTATGCAATAGTTATGGGAGTGGACAACCTTGTCTGGTGTTGCTTGGTTTTACTTTTAGCTGTATCACACAGTTACTTGTACGAACCTATTCAAATATTCTTCATTTGATGTCTTCATAAATTATTTTCCATTTTTTACATGCTAACAAAGTATATCAAGTAGAGACCATCTTATTTCTTTTGGTTCTTCGTTCCCCTTATTTAGTTATTTATTTTTTAATTTTTTCTTTGATAAGCGTTCATTGCGTAACTTGTTTAAAACACTATGCTGCATAAAAATCAATGATGCTTCTATAGTTCTATTGTTCTCTCAAAGTGCGGTGATTTGTAAATTTTTGTATAAAAAGGATGAGACATATGAAATTCAACTCATTTCTGTGTGATTTTGACAGGAGTGTTGCATTTGCCTCTCTCGATATGCCGATGGAGCCGAGCTGTATACGCTCCCATGCAGCCATCATTTTCATTGTGGTTGCATAAGCAAATGGCTTCGAATAAACGCAACATGTCCCCTCTGCAAGTTCAATATCCTGAGGAGTGATACTTTGGTTTAATAATATTCTCCACAGATGGAGAATTCTTCTAACAATCCAGATGGTCATTTGCTGATCTGCTGACAACTGATGGTAAAAGGAAAACTTAGGAAAAAGAAAGAGCTCTTTACTTTCGCGGTTCCCATCCCATCATCGGGATTTTTTCTTTTATGTTTTCCTAAGCCTCTTTGTGCATAGAATTTCAGACTTAGTTTGCGGTTATTGTATATTATGTAGATGTGATAAGAGAATGATGACCATTTGCCTAAGACTGCTCGTTTTAGTGGCACCGGAGGGTTTGGTGGGATGAGTTTGGGGGAGGTTGCGGCTTTAATCCCGTGTTATATTAAAAAAAAGAGAAGTATGACCATTTGGATAGTACTAGTACTACTATTTGATAACTCTACTTTTCTTTTATTATTATTGAAAAAAAAAAGAAAAGAAAAAGTTGCAGCCAGAACTAGAAGCCCCACCTGGTAAGAAAGGGTAAGTATGTAAAGGGATGAGAATGCATATTCCGTGGGTCCAAAAAGGTTGCGACTTCTGTAAATGGTTGATGTTAAGAGAACCCGTTCTGTGCACTAACTTTTTGACTGGCAAAAAGCCGTATTGTAACTTTTTAAAGACAAAAGTAAGTATTGTTTTGGCAAAACAAAAGTAGGCATTAGTGACTCCACATTAATTAAATTCCAGTAATAAGAAATTGCTGGACTACTTAGTCTGCTTCAAGTAGACGTTCCTAGTTTTGTTAAAAGTTTTATTGTTTAAAAAGTTGTTTTTCGTTAATCCTTAATCGATTTTTGATAATTTATTGATTGATTTTAGTAAATTATTGACTAACTAATCGTTAGTTTATCAGCGGATGTCTAATGTATCTACTTTCAGTTAGGTAAACTATTTATTCTTAAATTTCTGGAAAGCAATAATGTTAACTAGAAACGTTTACTAAAAATTGTTTTAAAAAGGTCATTTTAATAAAAATCCCTTAAATAATCTGATCTTCATCCAAAGAGAGAGTACCATGTTGTTAAACTATAGTAAGACTCTTGCTTTAGTCCCTGAATTTGGAAATCAATAATAGTAGTCCTTAAATTTTTCTAACCGTTCAATGTTTGTTGGTTCAAGTTCTCCATATGAAAATATGATTTTTTGTCATTCATTTTTTATTTTTTGCAGCAATGAAATGTTGAGTTATAGTGCGAGTATTAATGGTGCTGCTAAGATGTGGGGTTGAGTGAGTCTTCTTTCTTGCTCTATTTGCCTGTGAAGTTGCCGTGAGTGTTTGGCCCCTTTCTGAACGGTGGAGCTGATTTCTAAGTAAAAAGGTTTTCCTGAATCCTGTGGCTGGCCTTTTTTGGACAGTCTTTACCCCAAAGCTTGGAGATTTCTGCTCGGTATAGTCTTATGAAATGTTTGGAATGCTTGTAACTCCGTGGTCCATCGCGGAGTTGATAGAAATGCAGCCATTGCATGGCAGCTATTATTCGTACGGTTCGGGGGCTGTTTCTGCACCATAGAAAAGAGGATGGATGGATCTCCTCTCATATTGCAGTGTGCGGCGGTTAGGGAAGGCCACATTACAAAGCTAGTGCTATCTCTCAGATTTCAATTGTTCCGATGGGAATTTTTGGTTCAAGGATGATCCTGTTTGTGCCTCTTGTAGTTGCCAACTCTGCTATGCTGTTTTATTGAGTTTGAATGAAATTCTTCCTTTAAAAATAAAATAACATAAAAGTGATGGTGTTATTCATTCATCCTGCCCTCATTGCATTTCTTAGGGAAATATTGGATGCTATGCTACCTTGTGTTCAAACAAGGACCTAACTTGGTAACCTAAGGAGTGCCAAAATTATAACAAACAAAATGAAAGTATACTCCCAATCAAGTATGGACGTTTTATTTATTTATTTATTTATTTTATTTATTGAATTGTGAATCATATAGTATGAATGTGGACTTCCCTGAGATGAGAACCGCGTAGTTAATAGACAGAAAAGGCAAAACGCCACTAAGGTAATAGTCTAATAGGATTGAACTTACTCCCAAGTGGTTTGATGGATAAGAGGCCTTAGGTTCGAGTCTCATATGAAGCACTTGATACTATCTTCTGGCTATCAACTCAATGTTCATCATCACCTAATCGAGATGAGGTAAGGCGTTGTCACCCAACTGGCTAGCTCACAAAAAAAAAGGGACATGGCTCCACTATCGACAATAGGCCACTGCGTCTAAATTTTCGCATCCTTTCTTAACTCAAACTGTATTGTCAACCATGTCAGTAAAAAGTCATAACTGCCTTCCCTGTTTGCCTTCTAATTTCCTCCCCAGCTGCAGATTGTTTTGGGATTTTACTTCATTGATTAGAGCACAGGGAGAAAAATATCTCTACCCTGTCGGGTTATACATCGTCGAGTTCTAAGAGAAAAGGTATCTAGGAGTGGAAATTTATCCAACAAGCACAATCCAAATATCATTACAACATCTGTAATCAAAACTAATAACGACATTCATTTCTTACTTATTTTCCAGCTAATTGATATACCCTACAATGTTGGTTCAAAAACTTATTATTCTAATCATATCACCTTTTAACTCTATCCTTGGAAAAATCTTATTCATCGCACGACAAAATAACTATCAAGGAAACAGTTTTGAGTTTTAAAACCAGAACTTCCCCAGTTTTTATTATTATTTTTTATTTTTATTATTTTTATTTTTGGGTTCTTTTCAAAGACTCCTTGTCCTTCTCTACTTGTAAATTTTTACTCCATATCCATTGATATATCAATGAAAGTTATTGTCGTTTCTTTTCCAAAAAAAAAGGCAACAGTTTCGAACGCCCATGCCTAGCATTAATGGATAAGCAGGAAAGTCCACATGGGATGATTTATCGTTAAAAAACACGCTGACAATTCCTTTTCCTAGATATCCTTATCAAAATCAGATGAGAAAGCTTTAAACAAGTTTCATTTATATAGTAAATATACCAAGAGATGGAAACAAAACCCTTCCACGATATTCTATAACATTGACGACAAGACAACGGTAAGATGCAGTTCAGTATGCAACGAGGAGTCAAAGACTATACTCAGTCCGCCTGAGAAAACACAAGCCTTACAGTTTCGAAGAAAATCACAAGTAACGAAAGCTCATTGTGTCAGGACAACATTAATAAGTTTACTTCCCTATACTTAGCACCACTACTGTTCTCGATGAAACAAGAAATGTCTGTTTGCCATAAAAACACAGAATTTTAACTGTGTCCTGCATCATATGGCGTTTAGTACCTCTTGTGAAAATTACGAGTTTTTCAAATCAAGCATACTACGATTGGTAGAAGTCAACTTGTAATTGCATTCATTCCAATTGCAAGCTAAAGAAATACATCCAAATCTAAATGTCTATACTCAGAATTTGAATTTTAATAAACAGCAATAAATCCATTCAAAATCGAACAAATGAAATTACAATGATATCATATACGTTTCAAATTTTCAAATGGAAACAACATTAGAAGCAAAAGGTGGTCAGAACTAAACCTGCAAGAAGATTAAATCTTGAGGTGGATCAGACGTTCTTCAACTTCTTCATCTTTGAAGGAGGCCATCGGCCCTTCTTTCTCAGTCTACGCTTCCGAACAAGACGCTTCCTCCGCAGCCTTATTTTCTTAGCCAATTTCATCTTCAGCTTCTGCTCCAACCTCTCTTGCAGCTTTGACTCCAATGGAAGTTTGTCAACCGAGACCGCCTCTTCTTTTCCATCCGACAGGGCCTCGCTACTTTCAGAAGAAGCTTTGACAACTACAGAACAACTTCTGCTGACAACAAATGGCATCTGAAGTCGAACTCCACTGAATGAATTTGGGTGCAGATCAATGGGTTTAATTTGCAGCCTGGAAACTGATAATGGATGCAAAAATATATAATGTGAATATAACTAAAACTCACATAAAAGGAAGACTACTCCATGCGAAACGAACCCAGATAACAAAATAACTATAAATAAACCCCAGATAACAAATTGGTACCAAGATTCTATTTTGAGACGAAAATTTACGTTAATAAGGAATTAAATCAGATGGGTGAGTACAATTTGAAAGATGCAGTGAAAATTTTAAGAACAGTGCAGATAAAAAGAAAAAAAGTGTTGGCAAAAGCAAGAGGTATGTCAACTGTTCGATGAAAAGCCACAGTGGGAATTTAGTATGTATATTATGGGAACTGTTCCATCAGAGACGACACATCGAACGTAGAAGATGAAGAAAAAAAATACCAAAATTCAGCAACGGCATGAGAAGAAAGAACAATATTATGTTTTGAGCCTCAATTGGGTTGTCCAAATTATAAACGTAAGAGAAAAAAAAAAAAAACAGCGAGCCAGAGAGAGAGAGACAACTTACTAGTTGGAATAGCAGTAGCCGATAAGAATGAAGAAGAAGAGGAAGAAGAAGAAGCAGAGAGAGGAGAAGCAGTAACGGGAGTGAAACAGACGACGAGAGCCATTTTTGCTCTCTTTTCTTCCTTTCTCCTTACCCAAATGCAATTTGGTTGGTTTCATTCGTCACGGTGTTTGTGGATAAGCTTTTTTATTTTTTTTTTCCTTCTTTTTTTTTTGTCTTTTTTGAAATGTGTGTGGACGGCTGTGATTTTACCAATATTTTTTTTATTCAGTGAAAGACATTTTACCAACAAAATTTGTCTCTTAAATCTTTTTTCTAAAAATAATAATAATCCATATCCATACTTGACAATCCTTTTAAAACGTTCCAAATCAAGTTCTTCTATTAAAACGTTTGTTAGTGATTTTTTTTTTTATTTTCATTCTTTTTTCTCTCTAATTTTCAAAGAAAAATGCAAATTACAAATTATTAAATACAGATGCATGTGTTCGTTTCTTTTTTCTTATTTGTTACTCTCATTTTTTTCTTTTATAAGTGATTTGAAAAAAATTAAATGACGAGGTAGAGGTATAATAATAATTAGGACTGACAATCTGAATAGCGACGTGACGATACGATTCGAAACTCATACGAAATTAGCGGGTTTAGATTTATTATAAATGAGTTTGGGTCATAATCAAGTTGACAAGATTAACACGATTAATAAATTAGTTGGGTTAGGATTGACCTCTTAACACGAAGTGACACAAATTGAAACGATTAACTATATGTATCATCTACAATCTAATGATATGTGATATAATATGAAAGTTTAAATGACATATTAAATACAAATAATGTGAATTTTAAACTTGTCATGACTGTGTTAAATAAGTCATTATTATACTAGTTATTTATTTTAAACGGGTTGATACGATTAACACGATTAATAAATCAGTCGTTTTGGGTTGACATTTTTGACACGTTTAATAAACATGTCATGTTTAGGTTGATATTTTCTGACACGATTAATAAATGGGTTGACACGAACACGACCCATTAACACGAATTGCCACCCCTAATATTAATTGTTGTTTGAGCTCTATCAACACCTTTGGTTTTCATTCTTGTCTTATAAATGAGTACATCATTTTTTTAAATAAAAAAGGATCTAGTGGTGCACTTCAAGTCCTCTAACCCCTTCAGCTATAGCAGTAATTTCAGGTGCCACCGAGTATGTGAAAAGTGTCTGAACTTGTTTCCCACCAATCATACACCCAGTTTTCACTCTCCCCACCTATAGTGTGGCCCACAGGAGCCCACTTAATTTCCCTTTAATTTTCCCAAAGAGGCTGAGCCACAATCTGCATGAATGGAGGCCATCAACTCAGTTTTCACTCCTCCCACTTATGGTGCCGCCCATAGAGACCCGCTTAATTTCTCCAAAAAGGTTGAGCAACCTTCTATGGGAATGGAGTCTCGAACTCTTAATGAATAGGTAGAAAAAAATCTAGCAAAGACGTTATTACTACTACACCACGACCCTCGGTGATATATGAGTGCATCATTTGACCTTTGTTACTTTTGATCTAATGTGTCATTGATAGTGTAAATGTTTAGATATATATGTTATTCAGAATCCAAATAGTTTATATATACTCAATTTTTGTTCCTTTATTATAATTATTTCTTTTGGGAAAATGCTAATTTACTTTAGGGTTACAGACAAAATAAATACTCGGGACAATTTCAGTTTGATACCGTGTGTTATATTGAAATATGAGTTTTGCACTCTCTATTTTTAATAATTTTATGCCGATACCTTAACCTTTTAAAAAATATTCTTTTAGTACTTTGAGATAATTTTTTAGGACACAAAAAGATAAAATTACTCTTATTATTAAATATATAAAAAAGCTTTTTAGAAATCTTAAACCTGCAACCAAAAATTTTTACTTTATGTTTGAGACAGAGTGAAGTTTAAGTGTTTGGTTACAGGTTTAAGATTTTTTAAAAAGTTTTTTATATTTAAATATATGTGTAATTTTGCATTTTCGTGTCCTATAAAATCGCCCTGAGGCACTAAAAGAAGATTTTTTAAAATATCGAGGTACAAACATAAAATTATTAAAAATAGAGAGTACTAAACTCATATATCGATATAACACATAGTACCAAAATAAAATTTTCCTTAATTACATCTCTATCTTACATATTTCATACTAATTTGACGGGTTAAAAAATTAAAAAGTCCTTGCACTGGTAAAATCGCCTGTTCAAGAATATTTTGACGTTTAACCCTATATGGATTTGGAGGAATATTTTTTTGGTGCTCGATGCAAATCAATCATGCAATGATTCTTTGAGAGAAAGTGTGTAGCAGGGAGCGTGTTAGTATATACGAAGTCAGTGTAAAAGATGTGTTTTATGTCTTCTTGTGGTTATAAGAGTGCAACACTATTTTTGTTATCTTTAGTTCGACTTACTACAGAACAATTTCGTGAAGCAAGAATAATAACATGTTACAAAGCGAGCTAACTAACATTCAGGGAAGTGTCTTCCGAAGAAGTTGGAGTACAATTTAGCTGTGGGAACTTATAAACCAAGTTCAAACTGAGGGCATTGACGAGTGCTAAAGTGTATTTAGGTATTTTGTATGTAATTTGTGTATTTAAGATCCGTTTAGTTCGTTGATTTAAATTTTTAATTTGTACATATTTAGGACCCGTTGAGCTTTTTACCCGAGAACTAAACAAAGACAAGGCAGCAAAGAAAACAAGCTACGAAACAGGCCAACACCTAACGCAAACTAAGAACAACTAGAAAGGAAAATTGAGGCCCATTAAGTGGAAAACCACTCAGAGTCCTTCAAGACATTAGCTGAGATAAGTGAGATCGGGATAGTACCAAACACTAGACCCAATCTGGCCCACCTGGCCAAGTTATGGGCAGAAAAATTACAATTTCTATTTATCCAAACTAAATCCAGGTCATGAAAACCACAGCAGAGGGAATCGAAGTCAGTTTTTATATTCAGGAGAAACCACGGACAAGAACCAACGCTTCATTTGACTGCAGTTGAGGAGTCACTCTCATTCAGAACAATTAAAGTGTGTAATTCTCTCTAAAATATAATGAACTCTCTCGTCCCCACAACAAACGTAATTTTTGAATCAAGGGTGAGCAATTATAATTCTTGTATGTTCTTATTTTTTAATTACTTTTAATCGTGTTTTGGATTATTAAATTCACGCAACCGTTTTGAAATTTGTTATATTTCTATTGATGAATTTTCACCGTCAACCGCCACAGCTTCCAAACTTAAGTCTTTTGCTAAGATCAAAGTTGAGAATCTGATTCTACTGATGATGTTCTGGAAGTTGCCACAATAGTAATAGAGCCTGTATGATCCCTGCCCACTACTGCAAGCATGGCCTAGCGACACATCCACATTGAGCTTGAGGGGCTTGTCACTTCAGCTCCGCGGGAAAGCTGGTTTTGGAAGAGGTAAATGCTTCGTTCGCTTTGTAAATTTGAGTTTTCAATTCGAGCTGAGATGTGACATTTTTTTAGAGCTTTTAAATATAGCAGAAAAAGTTAGATGTGCCATTTTCTGAGAGCTTTTAACTGTAAAAATTTAGAACTGAAAACTCGAATCGGTGAAATGGGTGGTCGTTCGGATCACTCCTTCCATCATATAGCGGAATAGGTGGCGGCATATACTTATCAGGCAAGGGCACCTGGATGATGTTCTCTGTGAATGGGTGGTCGTGAGACGTATACATCTTGGCGTCGACTTTACGGCCTCAGCCACCTTTCCTACAACTTGCTCAAAGTTGTTTAGCTGACTCCCTATTTACTTTTCTAGCATGGCCGTCTTCTCGGCCAGGACTTTATTCTCGGCCGCGAGCTCTTCCTCCCTAGTCCGCTACACATCTTGATCACGTCGAGCATTCAGCTGCTCCCTCAGGTCTCCCCTGCGTACGGATGAAGATTCTACCGGAACCGCATTCCTCCGGTTCACGTTCTCCTGCGGTCGAGGAGGTACCTTTCAGTCATTTGTTGTCTGGGCCGCAACCCTCTCCTGGGCTCTCCTCCTAGCAGCTTGTTACCTACTCCCCACAGATCTATTCGACTTGGCTGGACGGGGGTTATTGGCCCCACTGTCATTGACTCCCTCGGCGTCACCACGTCAGTCACCAATTACTTGGTTCTCGACGGCGGCGTTCACCGGGTTCATCGGCGCATCCTCTAACGGCGGCATCAAATTTGGCCTTTGCTCCCGTCTGGCGAGGGCTGTGGCCATCCTCTCTACGGCCACATCAAGTGTTTCGACCTGCATTTGGAGCTGGTCAAGGTGGTCTGGAGGGTTCTCAGCGGCCAGTGGTTGCGCCCTGCGGTTGGGTCGTGCCCCCGCTGGTTCTTGATCGTCATTGGGCGGATTCGTCGGATTCCTTCCGCCGACGGCAGGATTCTGGCCTTCCTGGCTTTTCTGAGTTGCCGTCATGCTGCGGGTTTTTTTTTTAGAGGAGCCATATTCAATGCTTACTGCTGGATTGTTTTTTGGGTTTTACGCCCTTCCTCTAGCGCCAATTGTTAACAGTGGATTTTTGTCAACTAAAGATTAACTCTCCCAGAACACTCACAGTAACATCTCACAGATTAATTAAGGATTAATGTTGCAGAATAATATGGAGAAGACAAGAATTTATAGTGGTTCGGCAAGATTTCTTAGCCTAGTCCACTTGTGGATGCACTAATACTTTGTTGATTACAATCTCTCTGGAGTAGTAGAATAGTGTGTAAAAAACTTAATGAATTCTCATGACTCTATTTATAGGCCTTGTACATATGAGAGACCTCCTCTACATTCTCCGAGGAGATCATCTTCTATCCCTAAATTCTGGAATTTGACAGTTGTATTTTTATGATCACAGCTTCTCGGTCAGGCTAACCACCCTTACCGGTTACCTGATTTTCTGACTTCGACAATAGTAATTGGTACAGTGTATCTTTTCTTGAGTTGACAGGACTATCTTTGGATTGGACTAGGCTGCTACCTCCACGACGCTGCTACCTTGACGTCGTGGCCCTCACCACCCAAGCGGGGCTCTCGACGCACGTTATCCCGCATGGACTCTCGACGTATAAAGGGCACCTTAGGTACAGTCTTTTCCTTGAAGCCAA